AAGTAAAAATGCTCCACAAATCAAAGGGGGGTTTTTAAACTGTGGAATATAACCCTCCTAATAAGATTAAAGACTATACGTCTCTCAACCAGACTAATGATAAGAACTACCTCATTAACTCATTAGTAATCGTCTGTACTCCACTCTCCTCCTCCCACGTGGCAGCCTGTGTTTTGCTCTCATTGTATGCATTAATTACTGAATTTGTAGCTACTTAAAACTGTCGTGTCGAAATGTAATTAAAAATTGCATATCATTTATTTAATCTCGTCTACGGTTAATGATCATCTTTGTACTGCTGCAAAAAAAACTGACCTGCGAATTCCTGCTGTTTTCTCGTGTCTCCACTTCGGCATTATTATTATTATTATTATTTTTATTATTATAGGTTAGATAGGATAGGTTAGGTTGACTGGGGTTGGGTCAGGCCCTTCACATCCGCCTGGCCACACTCAACCGGTTTCCATGCTCTAGTTATATTGGTAATTAATGTGTCATCGTTCCTTTCCTGTGTGTCTTATTACATGCTCTCTCTCTCTCTCTCTCTCTCTCTCTCTCTCTCTCTCTCTCTCTCTCTCTCTCTCTCTCTCTCTCTCTCTCTCTCTCTCTCTCTCTCTCTCTCTCTCTCCTTTGTGCGGGATGTGGCGAGGTTAGTGCATTCAGAACATGTGTTGTATAGTAATTACTTCATTATAAACGGTCTCTATAAGGAGCCTAATTGGCCTTAATGTTGAGAGGAGATGGTAACCTCATATCCCAGCTCCTTGTACTTATGTCTCACTTCCTTGTCCTCATATCCCAGCTCCTTGTCCTCATATCCCAGCTCCTTATCCTCATATCCCAGCTCCTTGTCCTCATATCCCAGCTCCTTGTCCTCATATCCCAGCTCCTTGTCCTCATATCCCAGCTCCTTGTCATATCCGTTCCAAGTGCTGCGTATATTCACACTGTCTTAGAACTTTCCCTTCATAATTGCCTTATTTTCCTATTACTTTCCCACAAATAGTTTCCCGTCATCAAATTACATTAAATTACATAAAACAGTGCGATGTAGTTTTACATAAAGAAATCTTTTTGTGCCAGGAGTTAAAGTTAAGAATACAATTGGTAGATTTATAACAAAAGAACATTTAACACAAAATCAGATTTACGACACAGAAAAGATAGAAATAAATGCAAAAAAACATTTAGAGAAAAAAACAGAAAAAGACAAAAAGACAGACAAAAAAGATGCAGTTTAGGCTTTTAGTTTGCAAAAAACAGACAAAAAAGATGCAGTTTAGGCTTTTAGTTTGCAACAAACACGAATAGTTAACACACGTAATAATAATAATAATAATAATAATAATAAAAATAATAATAATTAGCCATTAATAGTTGGCATGAGGATCTTAGAAACAAATGATCAGTTTCAATAGTAAAAAATCAAGAAGGTATAGCATTGTATGGCTCTCCATATAGCTTCTATAGAGGCGTGTTGGCTCCATCTACCGGTGTCCTGGTGAAGGCTGGCCGTCTGCATGGCTCTGTACAGTGTAAACTCTGTAACAGTTTACACTGTTGGTGAACCAGTTTTGATATATTTTAGATTTACCTATCGTGTACTAATGTGTTATTCATCCAGTGGGCAGCGGTGACACGTTTACAATCACACATGTACTATACCTACAGCAAGTTTACAATCACACATGTACTATACCTACAGCAAGTTTACAATCACACATGTACTACACCTACAGCAAGTTTACAGTCAAGACAACAGGAATTATAGTAAAAAAAAGCTACACACACAGCTTCTAACAGAACCTAGAACCCCCCAAAACTCCCCAATGGACAGAAGGTTAAGAGGCGGGAACATGAGCTGAAGCCCAACCCCTATAGGACATTTAGAGTAGTAGGAAGGAGGAGAGACGCAGCCCTGCAGGGCGGCACGTACGATATAGTTGTCATTATTCATGTATAACTAACAACGTACGGTACTGAGAAACAGAATGCTTGGGGACGTTTAGATGACGACGCTTGGCTTCCGGCCCAAGGGAGCATACAGGGTCTAAGTGGGAAAATATAGCCCCCTGGACGTCACTGCTGCTCTGTAAACAAACCTAACCTAACCCAACTTATCTAAACCTAACCTATCCTAACCGAACCTAATCTAACCTATCCTAACCTATACTATCTATCCTAACCTATACTATCTATCCTCACCTATTCCATCCTATCCTAACCTATTCCATCCTATCCTAACCTATTCCATCCTATCCTAACCTATTCCATCCTATCCAAACCTGACCTATTCTACCTTCAACCAACCTAACCAAACAACAACGGAAATATGAGATAAAGCGTTGAGCTTTATATGTGGTACGGTACGAGGCGGGCATGACGTCACTGTGACGTCATAGGGCTCATGCCAGCACAAGCAAAAGCATTATGACGTCATAAGGCTCAAGCCGGTACAGGCAAGAGCCTTATGACGTCATAATGCTTATTTAATATTTAACACCCAGCCCGAGGAACCAACCCAAGTAATGCAGCCACGCATGTTCTCGGGGAATAAAAAGTTGTAGTTTTAGCGAAGTTTTCCCTGTGGTGCTGAGTAACAGTGAAGGATTATATATAGACGTGTTTTCATGCAGCCTATTATATATTTATTATTATTATTATTATTATTATTATTATTATTATTATATATAGTTTTTGTCAATTGTGAAAGTTTTACATTGAAGTTTACAGACCTGCACAATTTGTGGAATAAACTGAGATCAACAATTGCAAAGATTGCAGTTGCTAAATGTGTGTGTGTGTGTGTGAGTTTACATTGAGACAGAGGTCCTCATGCCTCTGTGTACGCCTGTAAACTCTATGACCAGTCCAGGATTTGAATCTGGGCAGCCAGAGAACTATACCCCTATAACAGCTCTATAACCACGCAGTCAGGGGGGCATGGTTCTCGTTCTCTGGCTGCCCAGGTTCGAATCCAGGAGAGGTTATGTGTGTGTGTGCGTGTATATCTACTGGCATATCTACTATATATATATATATATATATATATATATATATATATATACTGTATATATATATATATATATATATATATATATATATATATATATATATATATATATATATATATGCGAACAAGCCTGAATGGTCCCCAGGACATATGCAACTGAAAACTCACACCCCAGAAGTGACTCGAACCCATACTCCCAGAAGCAACGCAACTGGTATGTACAAGACGCCTTAATCCACTTGACCATCACGACCGGACATAATGAGGTGATAGCCGAGGCTATTTGAACCACCCCACCGCCGGCACTCGGATAGTTATCTTGGGCATAGCATTTTACCAAATCACCTCATTCTTTGGGGCACACGTGAGGAACACAAATGCGAACAAGCCTGAATGGTCCCCAGGACATATGCAACTGAAAACTCACACCCCAGAAGTGACTCGAACCCATACTCCCAGAAGCAACGCAACTGGTATGTACAAGACGCCTTAATCCACTTGACCATCACTTGACATAATGAGGTGATAGCCGAGGCTATTTGAACCACCCCACCGCCGGCACTCGGATAGTTATCTTGGGCATAGCATTTTACCAAATCACCTCATTCTTTGGGGCACACGTGAGGAACACAAATGCGAACAAGCCTGAATGGTCCCCAGGACATATGCAACTGAAAACTCACACCCCAGAAGTGACTCGAACCCATACTCCCAGAAGCAACGCAACTGGTATGTACAAGACGCCTTAATCCACTTGACCATCACGACCGGACATAATGAGGTGATAGCCGAGGCTATTTGAACCACCCCACCGCCGGCACTCGGTTTTCAGTTGCATATGTCCTGGGGACCATTCAGGCTTGTTCGCATTTGTGTTCCTCACGTGTGCCCCAAAGAATGAGGTGATTTGGTAAAATGCTATGCCCAAGATAACTATCCGAGTGCCGGCGGTGGGGTGGTTCAAATAGCCTCGGCTATCACCTCATTATGTCCGGTCGTGATGGTCAAGTGGATTAAGGCGTCTTGTACATACCAGTTGCGTTGCTTCTGGGAGTATGGGTTCGAGTCACTTCTGGGGTGTGAGTTTTCAGTTATATATATATATATATACTGTATATATATATATATATATATATATATATATATATATATATATATATATATATATATATATGTATATATATATGTATATATATATATATATATATATATATATATATATATATATATATATATATATATGTGTCTGTGTGTAATTACCTAAGTGTGGTTACAGGATGAGAGCTACGCTCGTGGTGTCCCGTCTTCCCAGCACTCTTTATCATATAACGCTTTGAAACTATTCACGGTCTTGGCCTCCACCACCTTCTCACCTAACTTGTTCCAACCGTCTACCACTCTGTTTGCGAAAGTGAATTTTCTTATATTTCTTCGGCATCTGTGTTTAGCTAGTTTAAATCTATGACCTCTTGTTCTTGAAGTTCCAGGTCTCAAGAAATCTTCCCTATCGATTTTATCAATTCCTGTTACTATTTTGTGTGTGTGTGTGTGTGTGTGTGTGTGTGTGTGTGTGTGTGTGTGTGTGTGTGTGTGTGTGTGTGTGTGTGTGTGTGTGTGTGTGTGTGTGTGTGTGTGTGAGTGATGTGGAGGCTGACTCCATACATAGTTTCAAACTTTGATATGATAGAGTCCAGTAGGCTCAGGAATCTGTATACCAGTTGTTGACTGACAGTTGAGAGGCGGGACCAAAGAGCCAAAGCTCAACCCCCGCAAGCACAACTAGGTGCACTAGGTGAGTACACATACGTAAAATGCTGCCTGAAATACAAACGTTATAGGTGTGTTGGTGGCTTTGCAAGCATGTTAAAATTCCAATCTTATGTAATCTCACCAAGCCATTGTACCTTCTTGTAAATGAATATTATTATAATTATTATTATTATAATAAATACATGAAGTATACATATAGATGTGAGAGCGGCGGTGAGGTTGGCAGCACTGTGCGGCGGAGATTAAGAGCCTAGAGACCAACCAGTCTTGGCCTGACGCCTGTGGAGTGTGAGTGTGTGCCGCTCGTGCTCCTCTCCCGTGCAACACCTCTCTTGTTCTCTTACCACTCCTCTCAGGTAAACTCCCTGGGGGGCGCGGCTGGCTGTCAACTAGCAAGGCCGGGAAGAGGCTGTATTCGCCTACAGTGGCGTCATATAGGCATAAACGGAAGTTTTTTGTGTGTTTTGTTTTCGGTAGCAAAAATGTTTTATCGTGTTGGTCGGCCTTGATACCGGGGATAATCTTTATAATGGCTGCAGGGACCCTCTCGCGCCCAGTGATAAATGTTTGTTATTGGGTATTTAATGGGTACTCGTGGGTGGGGTGGGGGGGCTGGGTTTACTTATAGGTTGTGTGTGTGTGTGCTGGTCAGTGTTGGGTTTACCCCGCCAGACTCAACAAAGGTGTTGGTCTTACGGTATCGAGGTTATTAAGACTGACCTGCTTAGCTAAATGAATTTTGGGGTCAGTTCCTGAGCCCCCATTACGTACAGTTGTAACCTTTCACTACTAACCCCAAGGGTGGGTATGGGGTCCATTAATGCTTGCCCCCAGGGGTGGTATGGGGTCCACTACTGCCATCAGGAAGGTTATGGGGTCTACTACCTCCTCACACGATATGTATGGGTCCATTACCACTCGCAGGAAGGTTATGGGGCTGTCTACTGCCCTCAGGATGGGTATGGGGTCCATTACCATCACCAAGAAGGATATGCTGTGCATAATGAATTAATGTCAGTTTATTATTAACTATATATAACCATCCTATGGGAGATGGCAGGAAGGTTAGTCATATAATGGGCCCAGGAGCTGGAGCCCAGTGTTGTCTAACCTATGTAAAAGAGCTAGTTACATGCTATTTCCATCTGATTATATTCACAACACAGGAAAAATGCTCTTTATTTGCTGATAAGCATTGTGACTTCATTTCGCTAATTTAATGGCTCCTGTTGTCAGGAACAAGAAGCCTTTGTATGTACTGTAATAATAATAACACTATACAAATTAGAAGCTAAGCATGGTAATGTGCACATCACTCGGCAGGAAATAAAAGTGAATATCAAATTTGAAATATGTAATGCATTACTTTCATGTTGTATTTCCTATAACTTCCAGCCACTTAAATGTTAGGATTTTCTTACTTTGTGAGTTTACAAAATGGGAAATAACTTTGGGAGGGTTAATTATAAGTTTCTATAAACTGATGTAAGGTATATACAGTACAGTACTGAATAATCTTGCTAAAGGTATTTGATGCAAGTGTCGTTATGTATTTCACCATGGCATTAATATCAAGTAAAGTCACAATTGTTTTGAGCCGATTTATTGCTTCCTCTTCAGACGAGATGAAATTGGAAAAGGAAGACGAGACCTTGGGGTCAAATGACACGGTGGAGGAGTTAACCCTCGTCTCTTCCATGGACCGACTCTCGCTCCAGTACCCAGAGAACCTGGGTCTGCGTGAGGTGGAGCGGCACTTGGCACGGGTGGCCCTTCATGACCAAGATAGTGATGACACATCTTCAGAACACCAGGTATGGATACTCAAGTACTGTATTGGGGGTGAGTAATGGAGAGGTTCCCCTGAGCTTTGAGGATTCAGAGAAGATAAGTCATATTTTAATATGGCATTGTGGAGATATGTTTAGGCTGTACTGTGGCAGTGTGGAGGCAAGATTTGGGCCCTGGCTCTCTAGTATTTTCTATGAATTTTTTTTATTTGATACCCCTCTCATCTCCTTTCTAGAGAGTACATTTTTGAGAGTTGAGATGTGGGCCACTCCAGGTAACAGCCAGTTGGACAAGTTATTACAAGTCAAGCTTGGCCCCAGTCCGTGTTTGGGGAGTAGAACAACTCTCGAAACCCGCTGCAGGTATACTCCAGGCATGGCGCCACATGTGTATGTAGCAGTACATGGAGGGGTGTGTGTGTGTGTGTGTGGGGCAGAGCATGGAGGAATGTTAAATTTTGCTAATGGTGTGTGGATTATGTGCTGCTTACTGTTAGCTGTTTAAGGCTGCAGTTTACCAACAACTGGTTGAGTGAGTGATTGCATAGACAGCTTTGCTCTTGGCTATAGGGATCTATTTATTTAACATGCTAACTGTATATAACCATGTTATAAAACACTATAAGCTATACTGTATAGAGAAGAATTTACTTCTAGTAACACCGTGGCACATAAGAATAACCAGATATTGAACTAATTATGCTGTAGGCTCTGTAATAAAAAGGTATACATTTCAAACAGTGCTCTTGCTGCTTCACAGCCATAAATATACAATGTACAGGTAACAATACTCTAACAGTTATGGCCACTTCCCAGTCACAAATTTATAAAAGTAAATATTACATTCATTTATGCTATACAGTACTGTATAGTGATTCTTTTCATATTCTAGTAATAATTTTACAGTTCTAGCCTGTTCAGAGAATCTGGCAACTAGCATTTCAAAAGAAGTTTTACATGCATTGCTGCTTTCATAAAGAGAACCCCAGACACAATATCTGTATGTATTTAGTAATCTTTAAGGTTGACAAGTCTTGGCATTTTTGTATATAGTATTGTAAATAGAAATAAGATAAGCAGGAAAGCCATGGATAACTTTAGCTGTCACAACAGACAGAAGAGGAAGGCATATTGCTGGAAATTAAATAAGGCATATACAGTGGTATCTCCAAAATCCAGATCATATTGTTCCAAATCTGATTCGGATTTCCAAAAATTTAATTTTTTTGGGCTTGGCTATTTATCACAGTATTTTCTGACTTTTTCTTAAAGCAAGAGATACAATATATGTTTATGCATATTTAAGTGTGCGAATAATATATAAAATAATGATCGTGTGCCTATAATTAATAATAATGCATGAGAATAATACAAAGAAATTTGTTCATTTAGTTTTATAGCACAGATGCTCTGATAATACAGGCAGTAAAATGCAATTATATTTCTGTCATGCCTTTTATACTTCGCAGTTACTGTATCTTGAACTGACCTTAAAATCCTTAATGCTCATGATTGTCATTCTTTCTTGCCTATAAACTGCAACTGTCTACTGTACCACCAACAGGCAACCCCTAGGTTAAAAGTGCTACAGAAATCATTGGTAAACAGCATCACCTAAATCAGTATGATTAGAAGATTTCAACATGTCAATTCTCTTTCTACCACTGATATTCATTTAATTTACACCCATATTGATCTTCACTCTTTTCTCAGAAAAGTAATGTCGGCCCATGGTTGGGGTGGCCCTTCTGTCGGCCACCCCAACCATGATCACATTTTTCTTATAACTGGGTTTATTATTCATAGTCATGAAGCTCTCTTTAACTTGTATAGTGCAACAATATTACTTTGATTTTTGAGGGAAGTCTTGTTTGTTGTTTAGAGGGATCCGTTATATGAAGGTCTGGATTGGGCACGTGCACTGTAATGTATTTCAAAGTATTCAGGTTGATAAAATTGTTCAGTAGAATATATATTCTTGAATATTAAATAAGAAAAGCAAGAGATTAACTAGGTGCTTAGAAATCATGAGCCCTTAATAATATATTTGTTAGATATTATAATTAATCAAGATATGATTCTAAATACAGTAGGTATTCTATAATCTTGTTGAAATGTAATAAAAATCAAAGTTTAAATGTTTAATGTTTAGTCTTCAAAACTTCAGTGCTGTATTGTTGGGAAGAATGTTTGCCATAAACAAAAATTTTAAACCAAAATATATGTGCAGGAGTACATTATATTCAGATTTCAGCTTATATGCCTAGAACCTATTTGTGTTTTAACTGCCGTAGAATATAAAAGGTATACAGTAGGGAAATTATAGTTTCGTTGCTTCTATTTGAAATGTGTACAGTATTCCCATTTTTTAGTTTATTACAAATGACACTCTTCAGTTTATGCCATTCAATATAAATAGGTACCATTTAATTAGGAAAAGTTAACCCTACACATACTGTATACTAATTCATAAACTAACTTTGTTTAACCAACTCAATTGATTCCTTAGGCAGTATCTCATTTAGACCTGATAAAGTATCAGTCACATCAATCTGACCTTCATATCCCTAATTCAATAGGGACCCTTCACTCTATCCCCAGGGGAAGGGAGACACTTGAGAATTCATTCTTCTTGGAATAACCTCCAGAAGTTTCATTCTTCTGTACTCAATATATTATCTTGATTTCAAATAGTGGTAAGTATTGCTCCGTTACATGTTAGGTGCCTGGTCACTCTCCATATCTACCATGAGGTTTCACCACACTTGCTGTAAACACACACCTGGGGTTCATAACTTTACTTCCTAGTCTAACCTTCGCTTGAAACACGTCACGTGTTGTGTTATCCTGATAATTACCTTACCTCACGTTCTTCTGTAATTGATTGGGACATGTTAGGGCATGTTGAGTATAAGTCTTGTGCTAGAAATTTCCTTTAGGCTCTGCTGTCAGTGGGACCAATTTCCTTGGATTTGCTTTTATCGAGGTTTGCTCTTCTGATTGGTTAGCTATGGTGACTATTAGGGATTGAATGTAAATCTGCTTATAGTTTTGTGGGTTGCCTTACTGCATTTTATCATAACTTGGAATTTGGAATCGCTGCTGCCATTGGCATTTGTACTGTTGGATGCAGTGTTGCTTTCATGGTGTGCCCTATTGGTCAAGTTTGGGCTGCAGCCTTGCTTGAGCCATAGTCTTGACAGTCGGTTTGTAGGACTTGGTGCATGCACTACTTTCATGAAGATCTGGAGTTCAGAGTGATGTCAGTGTTCCTAGCCTACAGTTTACCTAGCTCCCTTTCCCCAGTAATGGCAAATTGGTAGCAAATTAAAACATCCCCCTCTACAAAAGTAAATTAATTGAAACTGATCTGGCTGGTACTTTTCCATGTCCCTATTAAAGTGGGACATTGCATAAAGGGGCATTAGAATGATTTGCATAAAAAGCTTTTTATCTACGCTAATTTTGTTGTTTTTCTTCCTCCTGAATGAAAAAGCAAGGTGACAAGGATATCAAAAATTCTCTGTATGATAGGCAAGATTATAATGACAGCAAAGCTTATCTGCATGAGAAAAATGTAAAGATTCTTAATAAGGAAGGAGACAAAGGAAAGGATGAATGTAATGTTAAGGAAGAGGCTGGCTGTTCAGACAATATAAATCAAGAGGAGAGCAAAGTATTTACAGAAAAGTTTATGAACTTTTATGTGAAAGGAAACATCACCTGTGCTGTGTCCAGAGATGCAGTTAAGAAGGTTGGTTTGTTGAACAGTAATAAATACACTGTTGCTCTTTTGATAGATTATGGGGGAAATTTGTGCTCCTGTATGCTTGAATGAAATTAGTTGCTGTTACTAGTATGTACACTTGACCCTCGCTAAAATCTTGTGTAGCAAAATAGCATTTCAGAGATAAAATTTCAGGCTAAACTTACTTTTTCCAAGATCTCATTGTGACTATATTCTACAAATTTTTACCATTTAATAAAGTACTGCAGTACTGTGCTTTATAGGTTAACATGTACTTATTAGTAATGATATTGGTTTGAAAATCACTTGGCGTGGTGGTAGTACTACTGTCAGTTGTGAAAGAGTGTGCTTTTAGCATATGGCAACACTAATCACCATACAAATTATTTAGCATTCATATATGCAAATATTTTCATATTGTATCCTTGCCTTTGTATGTGGTATGAATTATGGATTCATTTACACTATTTGTGCATTAAGACTTGTGCATGCGAGGTGCTCATCCAGTACCAATTTTTTGGCCAGTTGCCATACTCTGTAGTCTCTGCTCCGTAATTTCACTATACATTATCTACCAACCCGTTCTCGCAAATTTAATAAGTCAATATTGACTTATTAAATATGTGCATAGGTGACATACTTAACATAATAGATACCCTTAAAAAGATTCATAGAAAACACCGACCTTACCTAACCTACTTAGTATGTTAAGATAAGCATCTTATTGCTTCGTAATTACAATTATTACCTAACCTATAATAGGTATAGGTTAAGTAATAATTGTAATTACGAAGCAATAAGATGCTTATCTTAAGATACTAACAAGGTTAGGTAAGGTCGGTGTTTTCTATGAATCTTTTTAAGGGTATCTATTATGTTTAGTATATCACCTATGCACGTAGTTAATAAGTCAATATTGACTTTACGAATTTGCGAGAACGGGTTGTATCTACACCTAGAAGCTGCAGGTATTTTAAGGGATTTGTATTTTGATCAATTCAAATGTAAAAAATGAGTGTTGATGAACATGAGTGGCACATATGTATGTGGAGTGTGGTTGGAGTAACCTGTATGTTAGCCCTCATGAAGCTCTGCATGCTAATTTGTGTAGTGTGTAAGAATATTCGTATCTTGTTAGGTAAATACTGTCATGTACTCATTCTTGATCAACTGTTTAAAGCAAAGTGTGTTGGGTTAGATTCCACTGTAGTAATGGTAAAAGTAAATAACATTCTTGAGGGGTGTAGATATACAATGTACAGTACTGTATCACAAATTAATAATACAGTTGTTATAGATGTGATTGTTTAAGCTAGCTTAATAGGTTAGGGTACAATGTATTTGATTTAGTACACTAGTTTGCTTGCTTTGAAATTGAATGAAATATATAATGAGTTCCTACTCAATAAATTTAATTACATCACACGGCTGTCTTTATATATACTGTACAGTAATTAATAATAATACATTGTCAGGGGACAGGAAACTGGAGTGTATTTGTACATGTTAGGCTTATATCAAGGTCTCCCCCCCCCCCACTTAGAGTTGAATTACTTGCCCCGCCCAGGATGCAACCCCACAACACGCTGACTAACTCCAGAGTACCTACTTACTGCTAGGTGAACAGGTCCATTAAGTGAAAGGAAATGTGCCCAACCATTTTTGTCCCACCCGAGATTCAAACTTGGAGTTCTCGATTGTGCATTGAGAATGAACCAGATTGTACTACCGGAACCAGATATGTGAGCTATGAGACTGCCCTGGCATTATAATGTCTTGTATGAGAATTATAAATAGGACAAACTCTTGCTATGTTTGCTTGTTGCCTAATGTCTACTCTCGGTTCATCCCATTACCAGCTAAAGTTGACGGTGGAAAGTATAAAAAAAAAAATTATCGGGAATTGATTGAGCAATAGTAAACTCATTAGGTTAGCATGATATCCACACAATTCTCAAGATAAAATCATAATTTATATTATTTACAAGGTTTGTTTATGACATGTAGGAAAGTTTAGTTGAATAATATTTTGCTTGTTTAGAATATTAAAATATTCCCAAGATTTGGTGTAGTAAAAAAGATCAGAGGGATCTTTTGCAGTTATCAAGAATAATTAATGTTGCAGGGGTCATGAATGAATTATTGTGCTAAGGCCAGGCATGAATAATAATCCAAGGACTAAGAATGTTTTGTGTTGCTGTTAGTGCTGGAGAGATAGTTAATATGTAGCACGAGATTCAAATAAATTGTGTTGTTGTAATTATAGAAAGTGACAAAGTGGGGGAAAACATTAATAGTCATGACAGGTACAATGAATTCTGCTTAATATATGGATCAAAGCATGTGTAATACAGTACGTATCTGCATTCTTGTTTACCTAATCCGAAACTTTAATAGTCGTGGCAAGTACAGATCATTACAATTGTGGATGGACTGAACAGGTGTACAGTTTTACACAGGTAAATCAAACTTTCAATCTTAGACATAAGTTGAATAGCATTTAGCTTACAGTTTTTTCAGTTCATTTTTGTAACTTGGAATCTAATTATACTGTATTTGTGATTTGATGTTTTACAGACAGATGAGGAAGGTGAGACTGGCAGAGAGAAGGATGTCAATGATAAATTAAATGAAGAGAAAGATGAAGTTAAAGTGGAAGTGCAAGAGGATGAAGAAGAGGTTAAAGAAGAAGTGCAGGAGGATGAGATTAAAAAAGAAATGGAGAAGGACAAAAAGGTTACTAAGGAAGAGCAAAAGGACGAGAAAGAGGTGAAAAAGGAAGTAGTAAAAGATGAGGAAGAGGTGGAAAAGGAAGAGCAAGATGATGAGGAAGAGGTAAAAAAAGAAGAGCAAGAGGAGGATCATTCGGACGATGAAAACCCCACCGACGAGGATGAAGGAGCTTCGTCGGGAGCCAAGAAGACTTCCAAACTTCTGCGCCGAGGTTGGGGACCAGTAAGTAATCTGGCATTTGAGAATTCCGTACAGTAATGGGATTAAAACCTTACTTGGTTTTCGTTTAAAGTGGTTACCTTTTGAATTCTTTGCACTTACTTTAAGCTCTATTGTGCTGTAAATATAGGTTATTGATGGCGCTCTAGTATTTATCTAGCGCACAAATTTTGTTTAAGATTGCGTTTGTAATTAATGTTTTCTTGGTTAGCATAATAATTTAAAATATTATAAGTTGAAATAAAACTGATGACCCATTTAGACAAAATTTTAAGAAAGCTTATATTAGTGATGATGATATTAGTGAAAAGTTAATTGCTTGTAAGATAAACTCTTTATGAAGGAACATAAAATTACATTGTACTGTATTGTAAAAAAAAAATACAGTACTTTGTAATGAAATTTAAAACCTGAGCCTACATTTGAGAATTATAATTTTTTATTTTTTTTCACTATACCAGTACTTAGACTCTAAAACTATATAGGTGTATATTTAATGGTAACAGTTGTAGACTTGTGTTAATATATGTCTGTCATAAAATCCCATTTTATGAATACTATTATATTTGTATTAATGTTTTCAAAACTGTATTGCCTTGGAGTTATAATGTGTTCTCAGATACAAAATAATTTTTGAATACGGTTCAGTAGATCATTTTTTGTTACCTTTGTGTTCTCTCAGTCAGACGACACTACACCATACCTGAGGGTGCAGCAAGATGATGCTCTGTATAACTATGGTGTTTATGATACCGCTCCTGGCCACATGTACAATTACTCGCATAATGATGTAGTTGCACCAGCTTCCAATGGGGTGAGTTATGTGTATTTAAAAAATCATAAAGACTATAGACTTTTGAACTTTTATAACTCGTTTTAGCAGGCTAAGAGATCTCCATCTTGGAGCTTATTTTACAGCCTTGGCCTATATGTTTTTCTCCAAATCTCAATTTGCTAGTCAATATATATCCAGTTTTTCATTCCTAATGAAATTGGGGGGGGGGGGGACTAGGAGTGGGTGAAATAACGAGACAATACCCATCATCTGACCACCCCACCAACCATATGTGCCCACTCTATCTGCCTCCATCCACCCCACCAACCATACATATATGCCCACTCCATTCACCCCCACCTCCCCTCTTAATTTTCGCCTCAGTTTATCCATATTCTGATGGATGTATGCTTGCATGTACAATGTGTGGAGTTTGCGTTGAGCAAACTAGTCTGTCTGCCAAAGGGACCAGGAATACCTCCCTTGATTGCCTTTGATCAACATGCACTTACTGGCAGTATTATCTTATTTATTGTTCTCTTATTCTCTAATAAAATTATTATTTACTTTTGCTGCTACTTAATTATACAACTATTTCTGTGGAGAGTCTCTTCGACTCCCTGGAGCTTACTGGCTGATATGCGATATATTAATCTGGGGGCATCAGGCAATTGGAGTTCAGCCTACCGGGAACCACGAGCCAGAACCTGGGCCCCTTCAGAGAGGCAAAGGGAGCAATGGTGTATGGAAACCCCCTTGTACTTAGGGGCATTCCATGTCTGCCATTGACTGGTGTTAGCACCCAGGAAGGTAGGGATAACAAAACAAACCCCCACATGGTAAGAAATTGCAACCAAAGACTGAACAGAGAAGCAGAACAACCCCAACCTAAAACAAGTAAATGTCCCACCTTGCCACATCACCACTTGTCCATGCAGCCCTCCCCGGGGAGGAGAAAGGGATGAGCCCCGGACCCTTTGCGTCGGCTACTCCACACCTCCAGTTCGTGGCTGATGCGATTCTGGAGCGATCGTCAGCTCTGGCCTCGGATACTTAGCAGTTGTGTACTTTAGTGGTGTATTTTGCAGTGTGTGGTGTGGTGACCAGGAGAAACTAAGAGTACTGGGGCTGCATGCAATTAGGGCTCTCTTCCTTAAATGCCCTGTAAGTACTGCCCTTAGGTTTTAAAGTTCTCTTCCATAGAATCTTTTGGAAACTATGGATACTTTGGTGGGGGAGCTTTACTCTCCTCCAGTGCAGGGGTTTCTACTCTTTCGATCCTGGTGGTCGGTTTGTTCGGTTGCAGCTGTCTCCTTCTTTTCTGGCAAAGAACGAGACAGCATCTTTCTGGAGGGGCCCTTGGTCATATATGCATGGTTGGTCGTGCCAAGGGTGCATCATGCGTTGTCTGGTTGCGGCTCTTCTCCATTATCTGCGTGCGTTGGCTTCTGTGGCTGGGAACGTGGTTTGGGTTGATCCAGTTTCCCTCGTTCCCTGTTCCAGGGCTCGGGTCACCCAGGTCATCCGCATGGTTATCAAGTCTAGCCAGCCTATGGTCTATCCTTGTGCCCATGGCGTTAGAAAGTTTGCTGCTTTGGCTACCCTGTTTGGCAACATGTCTTTGGCTGACATTTGAGCATGGGGGTTTTGGAGATTGAACAGGGTCCTGGCCGCCCGTTACCTGGTCAATGTTCCTGGTCCCGATCGTTCGTGTGTGTGTGTGGCTTTGGGTCGCAGGTTGCATCCAGTTGTCTCGACTTAGAGTTGGTGAGTGAGTGGTGGCCGCCTTCTAAGTCCCTCTTTTACTTGTCTTTGGTTAGGTAGCTCTAGGGAGCTGAAGTGGCTCCCCACAGAAAACCAGCGTTGAATGTAATGACACGCCATTTTCTGGGTGAGCCTCGGAGGCTCCCTGGCACCCCCCTTCCTCCGGTCGGCTTTTTTTTCACATTGATTGGTGCTCAGCCTCTGAAGTGGAGGTGTGTAGTTGTCAGTGCAGGGGGTCCGGGGCTTCCACCTCCTGGGAAGGGGAGGCTGCACAGAAAAGTGCTGCTGCAGCGAGGTGTGATGTTTGCTTGTTTTAGGGTGGGGGAGTTGTGCCTCTGTTCGGTCTTTGACTGCAATTTCTTACCATGTGGGCTTTGTTTTGTTATACTGAACCTACCTTTCTGGGTGCTAATCTCTGTTGATGGCAGACATGGAATGCCCCCAAGTATATGAGGGTTTCCATAGGCCATTGCTCCATTTGCCTCGCTGAAGGGGCCAGGTTCTAGCTCTTGGTCCCTGGTAGGCTGAACTCCAATTGGCTGATGCCCCAGACTAATATATCGCATATCAATCAGTAAGCTCCAGGGAGCCTCCGGGACTCGCCCAGAAAATGACATTTCATTACATTCAACGCTGGTTTTTACACTCCCGACAGCTGATTACACAATACGAGCAATCTCCACAATATGGACTCCCTCCACATAATGGACAACTGTCTCCACAGTACGGGCAATCTCCAGGTTACCCAGATATGTCACCTGTGCACAGAGGAGCAACAGACCCCAGCATGTATAACATGGTAGGGTTTGTCACTTTTTTTCATCACCCTGTGCTTATTACATGAATGTAAATTCATTATGCATTCTACTCATTATAGCTCCCTTTATGTGTGATTATGCTATTTGTATGCTGGAATTTACTCATCTGAAGATACTCTCCTTGACTGATTACAATCAAAACCTCCCTACTAGTAGTTGATTTTCCATAATTTTTTTCTTTGCATAGAGAATACCTTTCTTGATTAACTTTGAGCGAAGAATGTTAGTTTTACTTTTTGTCATTCCAGTTGCCGACTCTTCAGCATGGGCAGCCTCCTTACTACCCAGATATGTCACCTGTCCACAGTGAAGGAATGGGTGGCATGAATTATTCGGCAAGTTTTTTCTTTTTATCACGTTTGTGTTTTGAACATATATTAGAACCCACGATTGCCACATTGTTTACTCTGATCAGGATATTGAGGGAATTAATTCAGTGCTTGCAATTATATACTACTATCCATTTTAAGCCCCATTATATTTGTCTTAACCCTTAAGCTGCTAAGGGGTCCTGAGGAGATTTACACCCTTATGCGCAAGAAAAAACAAAATTCTAAAAAATTATTTCGTCTTCTAAAAATGTTAATTTGTGTTCCCTGAGCACGGGAAAAAAAAAATCGTAGGTGACATATTTTGGGCGCAATAGACCGAGGAAGTCTGGCAAAAAGTGGGCGTTGACAGAGCGGTCGTCAGAGCCAGTCAGTGTCACCCGAGCTGACAGGTGGGAGTTGCCACAAAGATATTATCATTTAATTATTTCAATGTCTCTGATTGATTTTTTCTTAGTTTTTTTGCAGTAATATTATTCAATAGTGTGTATTGTGATATATTTATATAATAAAAGGGGTGAATAATCACTATACTCAAAAGTATGGTGTGCATATTAGTGATTCAATTATGTTCATAAAACAATAAACAAATAGTTTTGCTGTTATTACACTCTATACACAGGTTATTTATAAGTATCTGCATGTTTTGTTCACCATAACAAACCACTAAGTTGGTATTAAGAGTCGAAAAGCAATGAGGAGTGACCGCCACACACCAGCCAGCCACTCGTTGCTACTCCCTCAACAACGCCTTACTCGCCCACTTTCTCTTCCCACCATCCTGTTTTATATTTTATTCACAATATACAGACGTTATATATAAGTATCTACATGTTTTGTTACCACAACTGTACAACTAAGCTGATATAGTTCAGGCACTAGAGACGTCGCTACACACAGCCAGCTGGTGGCTCCCTCACTCATTCAAGGTCACACGCACTAAACTTTCTCCCCCAACAATACTGTTTGTAGTGTAATTACACTATATACACATATATAAGTATCTACATGTTGTATGCACCGTAACTGTACACCTAAGCTTGTAGAGTGCCCAAAGAGCATAGTGGCCACCCTCTACACAGCCATACAAATCATGCAGACGACATCACCTCTGTCACCCAAATGGCTCCTCCCAACATAATCCTTTTGCTGTTATTACACTAATAAACACATTATATATAAATATCTACATTTGTGTTCACCATAGAGAACCACTGAGCTGGTATGTTGAATGCAGACAATAACAGGTGGCCACACAGTCAGTAAACGATGCAATCTCCCTCCATCCCTCAGCATCACTCCTCCCACAGCGCTAATTATTACAACAATCCTGCTATTATCACAATCCTGGTCATTTATATCAGTCAGGGGTCATCTATAATATTGTCATAGTTATATATTTTTGACATTTTTCGGCAATGCTGTGGTCACAAGCTGAGCAGCAATGCTGTTCGCTCATGCTGCGTGCGACAGTCTTGGTTGCTCCAACAGTACTGTGGCTCTCACACCTGAGAATATTGCCCACGATTTTTTTTTAAAATGGCGTCTGTTTACAAGAGCCCTAAGGAAGCTAATGTGAACCCTGTGTAGCCGCGGGCCATTTGAATCCTGCCTGGCACTCTATGGCGTATATATACGCCATGCGCACGTTGGGACATGTTACTCATGGGGTATATATACGCCATGCGCAGTTTAAGGGTTAATCTATACTCTTATCATTTTCACTACTGTATCCTTTTCTTTTAACTTTAGCTATATACTAATTATTGTATTGTGTTTATAAAAATTCCAGCTTCCTCCTGTGAGCGGAGTGGATGGATGTTATTATGGATACTCTGAAAATGGAAGTCCTTACATAATTCCTGAAAGTCCTCCAATTTCTTCTCCGGTATGACTGTCTTTTTTTTCTCTCTTGGATCTTTAACAAATAAATTATTATATACCAATAAAAAAAATTGCATGGGAGTGACTAAAGAAAATACTCATACAATATCAGAGGCACTTTTTTCTGAGCCCATAAATCTGTTATATATTGTATATATATTTACCTAATGTGGATTTCCTACTTTCACATACTGAGGATGTATTTCAAGCAATAGGTCAAAATGATTATACTTTGTCAAATATATATTGAGAGGTATGAAGACAATCCCACATTTTATTTTATGTTCTATGGAGCATAATATAAATCTTGTTAACTCATGGTTCCTTACAGGATGAAAATGAGAACTATCAATATCAAGGCTTACAGAGCAGTCCTCCATCACCTGAGCAAGATTTAGATCAGTTTCCTTCTGTTGACCAGCACAACCTTGACCAAGTTCTAGAGGTAAGCGTGCATTTTAAGTGTTTCATGCATCCAGTTGTTCAACGTGGCCATAAAATCTTGGGTAGACTCTAATTATTCTAAATGAAGTGGTGGTTATATCCACCGAGTTGAATATAGATTGTAGTTTGGTTTAGGAGGTAACAATAGGCAGGATTGGGTAATATGGATCTTGCAGCTACTATTCTCAGCCTAATGATACACACATTAGTAAGAGAAGTTCAAGAGGCTTGGCACTCATAGCCTGGAACTATTTAAAATTTGCACATACGTCCTGTACGGTAATATATTATTAACATTGAAAATCGTGTAAAGCATGCAGCTTTCACCATGTGGCTGGTCCCACCACAAGCTTTCTCCATTGTTTACAGTAGACTTAGAAATATTTCCTATTCTATAATAAGAGTGGTCCATAGCACTTACCAGTGCTATGCACCACACCATATGAGATCTGTAACTCTTTAGGGCTTCATACCTTAGCTATTTCCTTCATAATATTTGTTCTTTAAACTATGGATGCAACTAGTTTCCTTAATATTTTCAGTGCATTTCACTTTGACCATCACTTCACATTCAGGCATTTCCTTATATATTGGAGTATAGTATTTCTATAAAGAAAAAGGTCACCATTTGTGAAATTTACAAAATTTTAGTTGGTAGTACAGGTACTGTTGATAGTAAAGTTATCCTTCAATGTCATAGGTACTTAAATTTGTTGCTGTATGTTGTGATAAAACTACTTCATTGGTACTGTACCCAATAACACACAGCTAATGTTTACTGTCTGCCAAGATGTAAAAAGGAAAATTGTGCTGGGAATGCCCACAGGTACTTTTACTATAGCATTGAAATTCACACACTAAGTTCCTTATGTTTAATTATAACTTATGTTTAATTACTATTACTTTCAGGTAGTTCATCAAGTGGTTAATAACAATGAAATTTCCAGTGCTCCTCCAAGTGCAATAGAGATGATTATCATGAAGTTAACAGATGAAATTGGAACACCTGCAACTGACCTTACACAGGTATGACAAAATGAACAATTGTCATGTAAAATCCAGTATTAGTCTTGCTTAGTTTTCTGTAATGTACAATGTTAATTTTCTGTTCTGAATTTGAAGAGAAGGAATGACTGGGGGGAAATGCCAAGCCATTATGACTATCTAGCACTAGGAAGGGATCAGGATAAGGATTTGGGATGGGACGGGGGAAAGGAATGGTGCTCAACCACTTTGATGGTCGGGAATTGAATGTCGACCTGCATGAAGTGAGACCGTCACTCTACCGTCCAGTCTAAGTGGTTGGGCTTCTGAATTTGAAGACAAAGAATAAGAGGTGATATACCTGCTTAATATAATTCACCATTGTACACTTTAAATAATTCCAGTTATATTTTAGATAACCACATGGGCTTCAATGTCAACTGAAAGATGATGATTTCTGTTTGCTCCTGATCTGGTTAAACAAGAAAAATTAAACACTAATGACTCAAAATATGCATTCATATATGATTAGAATTAGCCTATTTATCTCTTGAAAAGCCCCTAGTTAAACATCGCTCTAGAGAATTCACTTACGAACATTTTGACACCTGATTTGTAATTATAACTCAACAAATAACTTAGAAAATGCAAAATGATTGTATACATTTAACACAATCCAATTTGGGGGACTAACTTCGTCATCCCACGCTGGACGCGCTCCAGTGAACCCACATCCACTCTATAGTAAGGTGACCAAAACTGAACTGCACAATCCAAATAGGGCCCAACCAGAGCAAGCTATAGCTGAACAACACCACCAGGTGTCTTATTACTAACACTTCGATAAATAAATCAGTGTCCTATTTGCCTTATTAAGAACATTTATGCATTGATCTTTTGGTTTTAAATTCTTACTAATCATAACTTCCATTTTGTTTACATGTTGTTAATGTATTCTTACAGGAGATGAGGACAGCTGCTACCAATGAGTGGAGTTACAATGAGGAGCCTTCACAACCTGTGCTTGACTCTTGCTTACCGCTGCAACCTACAGTTGACTGCTGCAATGTGTCCCCTTATGTGAGTCCCACTTACCATTTGTCGTACTCATTTCAAGGTGTTTTAATATTCATCAGTATTCAGTGCCAACATCATTAGCTTGTAGTTCCAAAGACTTTTGAGTGGTGACTCCAACACCTGGTGACATGAAACTTATTATAATGTAGATGAATATTGCAACATTTAATTATATTATAAAGATAGTGGATATAATAGGCTGGTGAAACTAAGAAACAGTAGCATAAGTTGCTGGCCGACGACCGGATTCGAGGCGGTCAATGTTTTGGAATGGCTGAAACTGACAATATTTTATGTCCCATATCACTTCTATATACTAGCTGAGTTTTATCTGCAGCAAAATCAAAATTACACAAGACAAGATGGGGTCGTCCACTAATGTGTGTGTGTGTGTGTGACCACAGATGCATTACTGATTTATTGCCAAAAGCATTGTACTGTACAGTACAGTATTGCAAAGTCTCTAGTCCCAACAGGTACAGTTAAGTTTAGATTTGTGTAATGTTTTTGCATGTGTTTTGGTGTGTGCATGCATGTAGGTGTGAGATTAACTGAGCAAAGGATGTATTTTGGTATTGTATGTGCATTCTCCAGAATCTGTCTGGTAGTACTTGGAATGTACTCTTGTAGTTCTGATTTAGTTTTCACCAACAAATTTGGCTTATAAATTATGCACTTTTTAGCTTTATGTGGATGTTTAGACTTTCTAAATGTTTTTTTTTATGAAGCGTGTTAAGCATTGGCTTGTTGATTGCAGGGCTCGTACATTTTAGAAAGGTTACTTAGCCCTTAAAGGTTGATTTACCATATGTTCGATTCTTGGGCCAATGCGGTTATAATAATTTGCTGATTTTAGTTATTCTCAATTTTTATATAAGTGATGTAAAAATGGCTATAATACTGAATGTGATGTAGTTAACAAAGATGTACGACCAATTTTTTTTTTTTTAGCAATGTGGTTATCATACACTAGTGTCGTGCAATTATCAAATCTGTATTTGCTGTTGCTTACACTGTTTGAATCTGTTTCTGGGGTGACATTACCAAACAGAATAACAGTAAAGGAGTGGATTGCAAGATCCTTCATTTGAACTGTGCCAATAACAGATTCACATGTACTCTTGGTGTTCATATTATATTGTAGGCATACATTACTCACTGTTTTTGGCAGTTGTGTACATAAATTGTCATTCAACACAATGTGCAAACTAAAGTGATGGAACAAACATAAAATCATTCAACTTGAAGACGTGTCCTCACCCTCGGGCCATGTCTCTGCAACACCTGTGTACGTACCTGGGCTTGACCTACCCAATGACTCCTCTCTCACAGCTTCCTTCTGTGGTCTACAAAGCCAGAAAGAGACTTGGATATTTGTATTTGTTTTTCTTTTTCATAACTTTTGTATTTGTTCAATAACTGTTCTTTTAAGGGTTAATATGTTAAGGACAGGAACATAAATTAGATGAGCTTTTCCCTTTCAGCATCAAAGTGTAGCTTGTGGCACACAAGTAGTACAAGTAGACAAGAATTCTTCTTGTCTAAAAGAAAAAATAACTAAATGCTTTTAAACGATTAAACATATGGGCCATGTGTCCTTTTCCTGGGGTGGGAAACCTTTTGTCATAAGGCCAAATTTGACTTCGTGGAGATTTCATAAGGCCACATTTTATAGAGTAGGATAGTAATACTGTATGCTGAATTTTTTTCCTTTACAGCTACAGTTCAGTAGTTATAAAAGGGAAATATAGTACTGTATACAGTACACAAGGAGATATAAAATCAATTTTGGAAGGAAAAAATTGATTGATACAAAATTTAACTACTTTAAGACGGCCTCAGAAAACAAATATTCATAGTAGGATTCATCTCTAGATGTGTTGGCAACATCCCCAGTGTAGTTGACCTTTTGCAAGAGCATGGTAGACCTCAGACATGGCCTTTTTTATTATTATTAAATTAAGCACAAGAGCCAAAGCAAGCAACACCACCATCTAACCTGTGTTTGAGAATTGGGTGAAGGAAATATAATATTTCAACTACGTGTTATTACCTTTGGAAACTTTTCAGTGCATGTTTGCTGATATGGTAGACTGAATTCACTGACTGTGTTTGATCGTCTCTATTAATTTGTCAGTGATATTGCAGCATTAACCAGAGTATACAGGATTTTGATCCTTTTCCAGCTTAGGACTGATAACACTTGTCTCTTATGATTTTAATAATAATTCATTGTATTCATATTATATATATATATATATATATAATATTACTGTGATTACACACATATTGTAGTTGACCAGTACAGTAGAGCATCTTTTAACACAAACCTTTGCAAGATTTCCATTTCTTTGGATTTGTAGTCGATATTTGTAAATGACTTTTCACTTAAACAATTCTAGAGAGATGGTTAAGGGTCATTCTCCAGAGGTTAGTACTGCAATTATTAGTTATTTGATGTATGCCCTCTTATAGCTTCTTTTACTTAGCATTTATTTTTCTCTTTACTTTTATTTTACTTTTCTTAGTATTTATTTTTTCTTAGCATGAGCAAGGTGTAGTGGAACAAACACCAGATACAAAGTGGAAGATGACTCAAAACCCGAGACGTCAATTAGAAGCTCGCAGGTATGGCTACGTGTTGATGCATTACCTTATGCTTTTGTCTAAATTATTACCTCAATCGGTATTGTGTGCATGCATGTGTGCATGATAGAGAACAATGATAGAGAATGAGAATATATTACCCTACTTGTAGTAACTGGATCGGAGCTTATGCAGCATACTATCTTTAATTTTCTATGAATTATTATGCAATTTCTAGTGTTTTACTCATCACCTTGGGGCCTAGTTCAATCATTTATCATTCATTTTGGATGATAATGATGATAGTGTGTGAAGAGTTCAACAGGCGGTCCTCACAATAATAGAACAAGAAGTTCTTGAGCCAAAGCAAGCAACACCAGTGGACTTTTGAGATAACTAGAGGAATTAAAAAATAAGTACCTGATGGAGCTAGACCCAACTAAGGCTGTGGGACCAGAGATCACCATGAATACTAAGCAGCTTCCCTGGCTTGGTGCCTTCTTTTGATAATTACTTACTAAGAGCAGCAAAAGCCTTATGCTGGCTGCTTACTATGATGTATAGCAAGTCACTGGAAACAGGAGAACTGCCAGAGTTGGCAGACAGCTAATATAGTGCCAGTATACAAAAAAAAACACGTCATTAAACTACAGATCTGTGTCCCTTACTTGCATTTCGTGTAAGGTGATGGAAACGATAAGAAAGGCTAGTGGAACTCTTATCAAATTTGTGAGATAGGATTTGCCATCTCTAAAACCATGCTGATGTTATGTTCTATGAATAGGTGATTGAGATAAGAAGATAAAGTAGGTGCATTGTATATTTTAAGGCTGTCAGAAAGCATTTAGTTCGGTCCCACACAAGAGACTAGTGCACAAAATGGAGAAACAGGCAAGAGTAATACGGATGGTTTACCATTGGAGACAGTGAGAGGAGAAAGGTGGTGGGATGTTGCCAGTGGCTTTCCACAAGGGTCAGTTTTGGGGCTAATAATTTTCATAATCAATATGAATGACCTACCAGCGGAGATAGTCCTTCCTCTCACCATTAACATGATGAGGATAAATACAATAGAAAATTACTGAAAATACTAAAGGACCTGGACAAAAATATGAAATGAAAATGTGGTCCCTTAAATGGCCACTTAGAGTTCAACTCTAGCAAGTGCAAAGTTATGAAGCTGGGGTATGGGGAATTGGAAACTGGATACAAGATAACTTTTCATCACCAACGTTTTATCAGCTCTTAAGCTACTGCATTAATCATTGATAAACAGGATTATGTAAATACTCATTCGTTGAAAGTTTGTGATTTTTTTCTTATCTATACAAATAATATAGTTTCGGTATACAAATAATATTTTGGAAGGAAAGCCTGTGAAAATGCTTGAGTAATGAGAGGACAGACAGAGCACTCACACCAGGAAAGCACATGACTGTACATGCCTTCACAATAGGTCTGGATGCCCCGTAAAAAGCTTCACAAACTTGTTTGGTCAATCTGTAGCACAGTACTTTTCTACTTGTAGATTACTGAACTTTTAATTAGCATAATATTACATAGAGCCAAGCAGTCTGTTAATATTATCCAGTTATTCAGTACAGTGGTACCTCGGAATGCGAGTGTCCCTGTATGCGAGTTTTTCGGAAGACGAGCAGGATTTACTCCAAAAATATGTCTCGGAAGGCGAGGGTTACCTCGGGATGCGAGTTTGTTGATACGTGTACAGGCCGACTGGCGCGTGGTGGCATGGCGATCGCGCCTCAGTTTACCAGTGTCTCGTGTCCAGTGACTATCCCACCTGAATTCTTCAAGGATTTACAGTTTTTTATCGTTTTTTTGGCCATTTGAGCATAAAAGTTGTCATTATATATCTTGCCATGGGTCTCAAGAAAGCTATTGGTAAGGTTCAACCTAAGAAAATAGCTGTGAGTAGAGGCAGTAGAGGATGTCCCTTCTTGATTAAGAAAATGTGTGAAGTATGGGAAGAACTGCAAAGTTTTGTTGAAAAAACTCACCCCGATAAAGCTGTAGCAGGCGGTTGCATTGACCTTTTAAATGATAATGTGATGTCTTACTACAGACAAGTGTTAAAATGTAGGGAAAAAACAAGTGTCATTAGACAAATTCTTAGTAAAACAAGCAAGTCCTAGTGGTATGCAGGCAAAATGTGCCAGAGTGTGCATACCAGTGAAGTCCTCACTGCCTGATGTGATAATGGAAGGGGACTCCCCTTCCAAACAGTAACTCCTCTCTTCCTCCCACCTCCTCACCATTTTCCATACGCCTACAGCATTCAACAGCAAGGTAAGTAATAACTTGAACATAGTTTTGTAGGTTTATTTAGATGAATTAGGTATAAAAATTTAGTTTGATGTGGGGTTTTTGGGGTAGTCAGGAACGGATTAATTCATTTCCCTTTATTTCTTATGGGGAAATTACCTTCGGAATGCGAGTTTTCGGAATACGAGGCGTCTCCAGGAACCAATTAAACTCTTAAACTGAGGTATGCCTGTACTGTACTCACTATTCACTAGCATTCCTGAGCTTCTACTGTGATCTAGTAAGAACAAGTGTGTAGGACTATTCATAATGACTTCTAGCACATGGGGGAAAGAGGTGACAAGTGTATGGCTATATATTTATGTTCCATCACATCCACACTGATGTATCAGTGTTACCACTAACTTGAGCATTTGGCTGTACACAACACAGGGGTCATTTAGTAGCAAAGTGTATCCTTCATACCGAAATTATGTAATAGGTGATGGCTACTGAATGTGAGGGGGTTAGGACTACATTCACACATCCTAGAAGCAATCCCATACATGGGTGTTAAAGATAGAGATAAGAAAAATAATCTCACAGCATTTTAGTTTTATTTTATTCCACCACTTTGCACTATTATACTATTGTCATGGACTGGAAGTCTAGTAGGCTTGTCAAGTTCACCATAGGTATGGGCCAGGCTGTCTGCAGTCACCTATCCAGTTACTGGCCAGAACCATTATTGCTAAATCTGATGAACTAAGTGATGCACACAACATCCATTATATTTTAGTATTTTGTGCATTCAGCACCGATATTCATCATGGTGCCAACATTTTGATGGTGGCTCAAACGTCTTTTAACTAGATTTGCTCAGTTTTGATCTACAGTAAACACAATTTTCTTGAAAGTGGTTCAGAAGCATCTTAAGATTTAGAGATAGGATTCAGCTGAAATACCTAAGGAAAGGATGTGGCAGAAATATCCAAGAAAGGTTTAGGAGGAGTTTCTGAAGGCAGTATGGTGGAAGAGGATGAATAACATTCTTCATACATAATTTGGCATAATTTTGTTTCAGAATACTGGCAAGGAGGACTAATGAAGAGCTCATTGCCAAGGATGCTGATGGTGACACGTAAGCTTGGCAATTAACTTCTGTTTGCTAGTTGCAGGGTGATTAGAAATGTTTTGGGTATTACTTGTGAATTAATTCCTTTTTAGTTTAGGCCATTTTATTACATATTGTGTGTGTGTGTATATATGTATGTATGTATATATATGTATATATATATATATATATATATATAATGCATGAACAAGCCTGAATGGTTCCCAGGCATATATGCAACTGAAAACTCATACCCCAGAAGTGACTTGAATCCATACTGCCAGGAGCACTCTGCAACTGGTGTACAGGACCCCTTAACCACTCGACCATCACGACCGGACAAAAGATGATGGTAGCCGAGGTTAATTCCCCATCATCCCGCCGGCACACTGATGCCCATGCCCAAGATTACCATCAGAGTGCCGGCGGGAAGATGGGGAATTAGCCTCTGCTACCATCATCTTTTGTCTGGTCGTGATGGTCGAGGTGTTAAGGGGTCCTGTACACCAGTTGCAGTGTGTTCCTGGCAGTATGGGTTCGAGTCACTTCTGGGTTATGAGTTTTCAGTTGCATATATACCTGGGGACCATTCAGGCTTGTTTGCATTTGTGTTCTTCACGTGTGCCCCAAACAATGAGGTGATTTGATAAAATACCATGCCCAAGATTACCATCAGAGTGCCGGCGGGATGATGGGGCATTAGCCTCGGCTACCATCATCTTTTGTCCGGTCGTGATGGTCAAGTGGTTAAGGGGTCCTGTACACCAGTTGCAGAGTGCTCCTGGCAGTATGGGTTCGAGTCACTTCTGGGGTGTGAGTTTTCAGTTATTATATATTATTTATATATATATATAATTTTATTTTATTTTTTATTTTATATTATATTTATTTATTTATTTATTTTCAAACACACACACACAGTATATATGAATGAGAGCTTGAATGGTCCCTAAGCCATAAATCGCCAAGAAGTCTATGGCTCGACCAGGATTCGAACCTGCATATTCTGGGCTTACCCCCTTTGGCATATACAGTACTGAAACCACTTCACCAGCAATTGCCTGTAAGGATTTTTCAGTAATGAGCTCCATGACTTAACAATCCCCCGGTGACTCGTGGTACAATTTTTGCCACCATGATGCACATGAAGTGGTTTCAGTATCATGTACATGGATGGGTGGGTGAGCCGTGGCTATGCTGGTTTGAATCTTGGTTGGGTCATAGGTCTTAGTGATTGTGTGTGTGTATTTAGGTATATATATATACAGTACAGTATATGTATTTGCCACTTTAGCATGGTGTTGGGTGATCCATGTCTTAGTCATATAAATTTATATTTGGAAAAAATCAAATTAAATTTTCAACATATAACAATTTTTGTGCAATTGCAGGCCAATAATGATTCTGGCTTGTCGTAATGTTAATGACGATGGCTATGCAGAGAGCCTCGTAGCAATAGTAGACAGAGTGGAAGGCATTAACGTGTGCTGCGACATGGTCGTCAACAAGACTGGAAGATGCAACAACTGTGGCAATACTGCACCGGTTAAATTCTATTCTCCACTCAGCATGAAGAATAATGAGGTAATATGTGATTTGTTAATAGTGTTTGATTCATTGGCGTTTGTTAAACATTAGGTGAAATTAAGTTAGAATTATAGGGGGGATGCTAGGGGGGATACCTGGGTCTGTCTGTCTCCATCCTTCAATTTATCCATGTCTTATTTTTCTATCCATCTATCAATCTTCCTTTTCATCTACCCACCATTCGTTCATCTCGTTTTCTATCCATCCACCTCTATATATATTTATTCATATATGAAACTGTTCATCCATCTGTGCATCCATCTATCCATCATCCTCTCTATACATCTTGCTTTATCCACCTCTTCATCTACCTACCTATCCACCTATCTGTAACAAAAGAGTAGTGACAACCGCTGCCACTCTTGTAACAAACATTTTCTGCTATACCATCATTGTAATACTTGGAAGTATAATATCACTGGTGTTTCATATGTATAACATAATCCACTTTATCACTCAAGATCTGAGCTCTGCATAGACAACTGGAGGGAGGGAGGGGGGAGAGAGAGAGAGGGGGGGGGGAAGAGAGAGTGAGAAATATTAGCTGCTACGGTCATGTATGATTACCCAAATGTGCCACCACCACCCTGAATTACAAGACGGGACCAGGGAGAGATGTGGATGTTAACATCCACAAGTCTTCACAAGTTAATAACCGGTGTAAGCAACAAATAAATGTTAAATGGGAGTTCTTGGGGAGTAGAAGAACTGAAACCCTTTCAAAGGATGCTCCAGGTAATAGTGCATATTACAATAAGAAAAAAATAGTTTTCAACTGTGTACTTTAAAAATATTTAGCTATTTAGCTGGTGAGCAGTGCCAGAAATCATCATCAGGGCCTGAGTGTGGCCCTGCCATGCTGTTCCCTCTTGAAATCTGCTGACCCTGACCAGATTATTTTTATCATGTAACTCTGACCATTCCCTTTGAAAATTTAGGTGAGGCTAGCCCAATGCATATATATATATATATATATGGCCTCCAGCTTTGATCAGACTGTCAGACATTCTTATAGTATAGATGTTATTTGTGAAATATAAATATTGTGAGGACATAATTTACATATTAATAATTTAGCACTGATTATTATAGGATAATTTATAACTAAATTATTTAAAATATCAGTAATGAATTGGGTTTTGTGGTGTGTACTTTATTTACACGTTCACATCTTTTCATTAAACAGGGTGACACAGTTCTGAGCTCTGTAGTAAAGATGAGGCATCCAGTATCAGTTATCAACTACATCGTTGAAAAGATCAGTCATCATCCGAATGATCTTCGACGGATTTTTGACAGATCTAGTTTGAACTTCTACTTTGAGTATCGGCATCTGTATCCAGCCTTGGCACAGTAGGTTTGCAATTGCCACAAGCAAAATTTGTTCCTGTGTGGTGTGTCTTGCAATGTTTCTAATAACGGTAAAACATTGTTCAAATTAAATGAATTTTTATGTATGAAGAATGTTTAATAATCGTTACCAGTACTAGGGACTCGTACTGCTCGTCCACTTACAAAGGCATGTCATATTTTTAATGTTTCTTTCAAAATTAGTTTACCTTTATAATGTTAACAATATGAATTTATGCTTTCTAGTTTCACTTAGGAAGTACAGGTATTGAGAGTTTATTTAGGTTAAGTTGGGTTTTAAAGTTAGTCTTGACTCAAAAACACACTAATGTGTGTTCAACCCATTCTCCTGTATAGATTGAAGTTTTTGTAACTATGTGCACCATGGTACAAAGATTGCTGTTCTAAGCTGATAGTAGAACTTTGTACTAGTCATTTTATTGTAAAAAATAAAAGCTAAAAAAACTTAAATATTCCTAGGCCTAGTATAGCGCGCACATATGTACAGCAAGTACTACTTTAGGCCTAGGAAGGTTAGGTTAGTTTGTCTTTGCAACATAAGTAGAAAATAGTTGTCTGGTTTATCCGACTTAATAGTGCCGATTCCTAGTTTCTAATTTTATTTTACATCGGTATACAGTATATGCTATGATCCTCATCGTTACCATAAGTACTACCAAAACAGGAGGATGGGCTGGTGTATTATAATAGAAAACTTAAACAATTAAAATTATATAATAATAAAGTTTATTTGGTTAGGCAACTTTATCTATCAAGTACAGACACACTCGTGCCATAGATGGCCAAAATGCTATACAACTTTGGGCTTATATAATAAACAATTAATTTACCCACTGTGTATCCGGTCAATGAATCGTCCGAATGTATTGTACAAACAAGGTATTTTTGTAATCGTACAATACCTTTTATTTAATACAATACTCTATTTTGCAGGTTCTTTTGCGAATGAGACGTTGCAGGGGTGAAGGCTCTTTAAGGTTCAAAGGAATGCAGAACAGCCAAGGTCTCTATGTGAATGGACTGCTTTACTAGTAGATTGTTAAACTGGATGACTAGTTCATTCATTACTATTAATCATCAGTTTTTGTACTACACTAGTGTAATTCACTGGTTTTGTAATTTGATAGAAGACATAGTTTGGTGAAACTGCTCAGTTGTCAAAATAAGACAAACCCAGCAGGCAAAATATACTCCAATAATTTTCAACATTGTATCAGCATTATTAAAAGATGATTCAATGTTACATCAATGCCATTTTTCCTGGTTTTACCTGGGGAGATAAATGAAGTGCAATATAAAAAAAAAAAAAGTCAGAAATAATTAATACTGGTACTTTATTTTTTCTTTGGAGTCAAAGCGTGCAACATGATCTTTGTTATAAAATAAGAGTTGTCAGGTCTCTCTATGTGGGCTGTAGATGTGTACATGTTCACCCTAAGAAACACTTTACAGGTAGAGACTGCCTGTATATACTTAGAGTAATGAGTTCTCGAGTTAGAGGGTTTTTGTCTGGATGTTTTTTTTTATTATAAATTATATAAAGTTTATTGGGTAATATAACACTAAAATTATTTTTGTATGGTGCTTGTAGGACTATTTTTATGGAACATATGAGTATGTGTTTTCCTGTTACTTTAATAGAAATTATAGTACAGTATCTACTTTAAAGTAATACTGTATATAGCACTCTAGAGATACATTCATTTCTTCAAGTTAGAACTATACAGCAGTCCATTCTCTTGCCAAGAAAGTGTCAGTTTAACAAAATACCAGTATACCAATCCATTAAAAATGTGTTGTACTGTTCTGCATTAGTCAAAATTAAAGCCCCAGTAAAATTGAAGTTCTATTCATCGGATTCAATAAGTTACTTGTCTGATAGCTGCCATCTATCTAGTGGCCTTGATGGGACAGGAAGCCAGTGGTTTGTCAATTTTTCCTGATAATTTTTTTTCCAGCTGGATTTTGAACTCGTGTCTTGATATTTACTGCTTTCGTAGGTCTGCTGTTTCATGTTTATGACCTATGTGGGGTACTTGGATTAGTATTATTGTAGTTAGTCAGAACAAATGCATTTTTCATGGAGTGGCAAATTGAGAGAATGGGCAGACTGTATATAGGAAGCTAATGTGGCAAAGCAATAACCTGAAGTCTGCAGGTATTTTTTTTAAATGCTGTCAAGAAAACTGCATGCTGTAAAATTTGTGCTATATTAAAAAGAGCATATGAAATAGCAGCTGTGACTTGCCTGTTACATAGATTGAAAACTGAACAAAAAGGTAGGCCTTAGGGAAGTGTACTTATCCATTGATTACCTTTGTCAAGGAAGGTAAGCATTTTGCATGTGAGAAAACATGTATGAATATTCACTTGTTGCATAAATTAGATTTTAAGACAATAGTCCAAAAATAGTTTATATTCTAAAATATATATTTTAACCAAATACAGTACTGTATATATGCTGTTTTAATATAATTAAAATACACCTGATGCCTCTTGTTCACCTAGCAGTAAATAGGTACCCCCCCCAAGAGTTAGACAATTGTTGTATTGCATCCTAGGGAAGGTCAGCAGTTTGCTCTAGGAAGACTCTGATCAGCCTAAATACAGGCTTCATGTCCCAGACAATAGGAATTAAAACGTGTTTACCTGATTTACAGGAGACCACTAACACTATTGGCCTTGACGAGGACAGGAAGTCTGCGGCTTGTTGAAGGCCTTCCCCCCACACCCCTTTTTCCATTTGCTTTGATTAAAGGCAAGTGGGATTATGTAAAATAAGTTACAAATTGATTTTAATGAGTTCAGTATCCTAGCAAGTACAAGAAATATTACCAGGCCAAAGGTAGAAGTCTTCAAGTCTTCTTGAAGTGTCAATTATCAATGGCCAACAAGCACCCCTTCACTTCCCAAACACGAACGTGTCACTAATGAACCAATAATGATCCCCAGCTTGAATGTTTGAAGTTGTTAATTTCAAAATATAATTCACAAACCAAATACAACATTCTATTGTAAATGTTGCAACAGAACAGGTACAACAGAGCAACATTTGCAATAGAATTGGCAGCGAAGTTAAGAATCGTCCATCAGTCAAGCGCTGTTAATGGCCGCTCGACAACTACAATACATGCAATAACAGACTAATTAACCAAACAACCCAAGGTTCCTGACACAACACTGGATAAATATTTGCTTTCAAGTGACTTAAGATATTGCTCGTTAATGACAAATTAAAGCGATTTTAACTTATTGAAATGAACATTTATGCCTTATAATAACTATTAACATCCAGGATGACATTGTTCAGAATATTATTCTGCACAATGGCATCCTCGAAGATCGCTTCCTGTCGCCAGATCGGTACTCGACGATCCTCTCGTCTTCAAAACAAGATTCTTGTCACCTTCCTCGCTCTTCCTGTCTCTCCCCAAGGTACTCCTCAAGCCCCCGGAGTATGAGTCTCAAGACGAGCCTTATAAATCTCAAAGTAAACATGAAGCTCTAAGCTTATGAATGTCTTATCGTAACCGCTACCTCAAGCGACCACAAGACAGTAAGGAAGGTAGCGAAGACCGTCTTGGGGTTCTATAGAACAATTACAACGACGGGATAACATAACATGACATTGCCTCTCACCACGTCAAGTCTGTCACGTAACACCAGCCTCTGACGTTGATGCCTCTCGCCGATCTTGCCTCTCCAGTCTTCCTACTTTGGAACCTGTACACTGAACATTGCTGCCTTGTTCAGCCAGAAAAATGATAGGATGGATTACAAGAACCTTCAAGTCCAGAGATCCCATCACAATGGTTGGACTCTTCAAATCACTTGTGTTGTCCCGTCTGGAGTACTGCTCAGTACTAACCTCCCCCTTCAGAGCAGGAGAGATTGCTGAAATTGAGGGAATACAGAGAACATATACAGCAAGCATAGACGAGATAAAGCACCTAAATTATTGGGATTGTCTCAAAGCTCTCCAAATGTACTCACTAGAAAGGAGACGAGAGAGATACCAAATAATATACACATGGAAAATACTGGAGGGACATGGAAGAAAATGCAGAATAGGACCAGTGAAGAACAGAGGTGCCATGGGCACAATCAGAGAACACTATGAACATCAGAGGTCCACGGTTGTTCAACGTCCTACCAGCGAGCATCAGAAATATTACAGGAATATCTGTAGTCTCCGTGGTGTAGTGGTAAGACACTCGCCTGGCGTTCCGCGAGCGCTATGTCATGGGTTCGTATCCTGGCCGGGAGGATTTACTGGGCGCAATTCCTTAACTGTAGCCTCTGTTTAACGCAACAGTAAAATGTGTACTTGGATGAAAAAACGATTCTTCGCGGCAGGGGATCGTATTCCAGGGACCATAGGATTAAGGACTTGCCCGAAACGCTACGCGTACTAGTGGCTGTACAAGAATGTAACAACTCTTGTATATATCTTAAAAAAAAAAAAAAAAAAAAAAAAAAAAAAAAAGGAACAACCGTGGACATCTTCAAGAGGAAACTAGATTGTTTCCTTCAAGAAGTGCCGGGCTGTGGTGGGTATGTGGGCCTGCAGGCCGCTACAAGCAACAGTCTGGTGGACCAAACCCTCACAAGTCAAGTCTGGCCCCGGGCCGGGCTTGGGGAGTAGAACAACTCCCAGAACCCCATCAACCAGGTATCAACCAGGTTGCCTTCAATACTGCCAGTGTATCCTTAAGATGGATATAGGGTCCACAACTAGTCAATGTGTAGGGGGGCCACTACCACCCGTAGGACGTTATGGGGTCCACTACCGTCTACATCTGTGCAGCAGTGGACCCCATACCCATCCTATGGGCGGTTATTGCAGGCCCCATTCCTATCCAACAGTGGTTGTGGATCTCTTACCCTATCCTGTGGATGGTAGTGGACCCCATACCTATCCTGCGGGCGGTAGTGGACTCCATACTTGTCGTGTAGGCAGTACTGGACCCCATATCCATCCTTGGGCCCAAGTGGTAGTGAAGCATATATTCATCCTCTTGGCAGTAGTGGATTCCATGTTCATCCAGTGGGCAGTAGTGGAACCCCATACCAATCCAACAGGTGGAAGTGGACCCAATACCCATTATTTTGGATGGTAAACATCGCGTGACTTGTTTGGGGGACGCCATATCAATCCTGTTTGCAGTAGTGTACCCCATATATATGTTCCGAACCTTAATGGAATCTGACCCATATATCAATCAGGTCAACCCATGTGTTGCGTTTCCAAAAGGGTCGCCCATGTTAGAATCGGTGAACGCCCTAGTAATATTGTTGAAAACATCTTAATAACTTATTAAACCAAAGGTCTTTTTATGTCAGAAGAACGGCAGAAACTAGATCTATATATGAAAACTCTTTCAGGACAAAATTTAAAGTAAAACTAAAGATATTTGTAGTTGTATATAAGTTGCATTTTTCATCGGTCGTAGAGCCGGAAATCCGCAATATTCATCTCAGAACAATGCTTATTTCACGCAGAATCGTTAATAAATGTAAGATTTTTATACGTCTCAAGAAAGATAGAAACATAATCTTCATTTTAAATGCCTTACCATGGGCATATTTGTATTTAAAGCGAAGATACGTGTATTTTTCTAATCGGCGAGCTCCGATCCCGCACAGATCGAGCAACGGAGTAACTCTCAGAACAATGCTTATTTCACGTAAATTCGTTAATAAACGCAAATGTTTTTATATGTGTTGAGAAAGATAGAAATATAAGCTTCATTTTAAATACTTTACCATAGATATATATAAAGTTCTAATGAAGATACATGTGTTTTAATAATCGCCGAGCTCCGACCCCGCACAGACTGATCGACAGAGCAACTCTCTCTCAGAACAATGCTTATTTCACGTAAATTCGTTAATAAACACATATGTTTTATATGTCTCAAGAAAGATAGAAATATAAGCTTCATTTTAAATACTTTAACATAGACATATATAAAGCTCAAGTGAAGATACATACGTTTTTATAGTGGCATTCAGTAGCTTGTCGGTCATGGAATGCAGAAGCCTACGCACTTGCCAATATAGTGTGTAATTAACAAAGATACTCTTATAAAGCCTAAAATATTATATGCCTTCAGAAAGACAGAGATATGCTCGTTATTGTGAGTGCACCAAAGGAAATATATCTTGTTGGAGGACAAAGATATATCAATTCTAAAACAAGTTTCGACTCTCGCTCGGGCGAGAGATAGCGCGACTCTCGCCCCATCTATTGGAGATTCTGTTCACCTAATGATCCAAAGCTACTCAAAGCCTCCTAGCATTACTTAAATAATGAAGAAATATGGTATATTTATTCACTATAATGTTGGTGCTTAATGCAGAACACGAGAAAACATATATTTACTATAAAATAATATACTTCCATTATGAAATAAGTAAATATGTGGCCTCATAGGAAGTCAACGGTCCAGGTGTCAATGTTGTGGAGCGACTTATCCAAGATATATATATATATATATTTTTTTTTGAGATATATACAAGAGTTGTTACATTCTTGTACAGCCACTAGTACGCGTAGCGTTTCGGGCAAGTCCTTAATCCTATGGTCCCTGGAATACGATCCCCTGCCGCGAAGAATCGTTTTTTCATCCAAGTACACATTTTACTGTTGCGTTAAACAGAGGCTACAGTTAAGGAATTGAGCCCAGTAAATCCTCCCCGGCCAGGATACGAACCCATGACATAGCGCTCGCGGAACGCCAGGCGAGTGTCTTACCACTACACCACGGAGTCTGCAATTGTTGTCTGGAAAGTGTTTGTTGGCATATCAACCTTCTGTACACAGTGATCCAGTCGTCGCACTTTATTTATTTATTTATTTATGCATATACAAGAATGTACATAAGGAATGTGAGGATACAAATATGGTAATTACAGTCTTGTAAAGCCACTAGCACGCGCAGCGTTTCGGGCAGGTCCTTAATCTAAGAAAATTTTAAGGAGGTAAATACTTGCAAAATTTATAGACAAAAAAATGATAACAGTTACATGAAATGAAAAAAAGAAGATGAGAGAAAATTGTAGATACAGTATATTAAAGCACATAGGTAGCTAAGATTGATTACAATGACAGCTTGAATGGTAGTTGACAAAAATTGGTAGGCACAATACAGCAGAAACAATATAAGATTGATTGCAATGACAGCTTGAATGGTAGTTGACAAAAATTGGTAGTCACAATACAGCATATGGCTAGCACATAAAAGAAGACAGCAATGAACACAATGATAAGGTTGTTTGATATTACATAAAAATTTGGAGATTGGGTAACACTAGGTACAGAGCAACTTTAAAGCTCAGTGTAGGAAACTAAGAAGATGAAGTTAGGTACTTTTTGGCTTTGCTTTTAAATAAGGCAAAAGTTTTACAGTTTTTCAATTCACTAGGGAGTGAGTTCCATAGACTAGGTCCCTTAATTTGCATAGAGTGTTTACACAGATTAAG